GGGGGGGGGTGAATATGGGGAACCACATAATTTTGAAAAAATCACAAATATAATTTTAGTAAATGACATCATTTTGGAAATAACTATTTCTTTGGGTGAAACATGTGAAATTGTTGGCTATTTGTAGGAATACCTATTTTTTTTTTCATAAATCTTAGAAAAAACTTAACTAAGCAATGTTTTAAAAATCGTTTCGCATCTGCCGGACCGGGAATTGAAGACGGGAGCGTTTCAACAAACTGATTTTATGTCAATTTCTAGACCGGATCGAAGCGGATGGTTTCAAAAACTAGGTTGAACCTGCGTGTTAGAACCGATAAAAACCGTTTGAATCGGTTTATTGGACTTGAATAGTTGGATTTAACTTAGCCCGTTAACAAAAAAACAACCCACTTTCAAAACAAATTGAACAACTTGATCGATTGGGTTAACCGAAGTTTACGAGTTAAGTCGAAGACCGACGCAAACCACTGCTAGATATAGGGAAATTCTTGGTTTTATATATATCTACGCATATTAATAGAAAATACATAAAACTTATGGAAACCGGGTTAAACAATCGCTCGAATCGGTTGACCGGTTGAACAGGTCAACCAGAAACCGGTTCAACTAATACATCGGTTTTTGAAACATTGTAAATAATTTAGTTATATTTGTCTTTTTCTCCAAAATATATACTTGCCCTTAACATAACAATTAAATGATAAATTTACCTTTCACTCGATCACTCAATCGAGTAGTTAATAATAATGGCCTCAACTATACAATGGTTAATAATAACATCAACTATACAATAGTTTATATAACTTTGTATGTTGGTGATGTGTAATGACATGAGAATGCTACGTAGATGAAGTAAATATACTATAATATGACAATTCATATATACTTTATAAACCTTACATAGATCCGGTTTTCCTCTCGTATCTAACAAAGCAATCATCATGATCTCGTCTAAATCTAAGTTTTTCTAAACATCATTCCCAATAGTTTGTGAAAGAAGATGGTGAAATGCCCAAAAGGTCCACATGCAGAACACAAAATTGAGCTTAAGTGAAAATCCTTAGTGACTATGAGATATGATTGTTACTAAAAAAAAATAGGCTCTAGTTGCAATTCTGGAAACTTTTGGATATGAAATTTATAATTTACTCAAATATTTTTCCATGTACGAACAAATTAATCACCCCCTTCCACACCAAAAGAATCATACATATATATTTTAGCGCCCCTTTTAATGGAATCTTGACCATTTATTTCCTCTTTGGTAATTGGAATGCCTTCTTCAAGAACATATTTGCAGCACCTTCGTTTCTATGGCACAAAATTCTCAATATTGTGTTTGGATCCGTGCTGCTCCATTTTCCGGTGGTTGGCGGCATCGGCAGTTTCTGCCCTGAACCACCACTCATCATTCCTACGCCGCTTGCCTCACAAACCAATGTGGTAAATTCCTCCACCAACTGCTCCGTCGACTGCCCCATCAACGCCACCACTCCTTCCGCCGTTTCAGTCTCTCTATCAATCGCATCCTCCACAATCAACCCTTCTCCACATTTCGAAAATACCCTCTTCAAATCCTTCAAATCCTGTTCAATCAACCTAAAATCTGCTCGTGTAAAGTTCCTCGAGCTTCCTCCTGCTAGCAGAATCGTCAGGTAAGCATCGAACGATGCCCTCATCACTTCCTTCAACGCCAACGGCTGAGCTCTATCCGTCACAATCGCAGTCAATAAAGTTAGATTATGCTTCATGATCTTGAGCGCAGGTGTGATTCGGGAGTTTTCCACATCTCCGACGTATAAACTTCCATAGAAAAGGTAATTCGAATCGAGAAAAATCAACCGGTAAGCTGCAGCTTCCGACACGTGTTGGGAGGCGGATTGAAGGGCGGAGCGAGTTTGGTCAAAATAAGAGCCACCACCATGCTGCCGCCGGCTGCCACCGATCCGATTTCGCGGAGATAAAACGATTTTAGGGGAAAGAGCAAGGTTTTTCTCGATTGAATTGAGTTGCAGACAAATGTAGTGTAAGGTGTTGAGTCGAATGTAGAGACGTTGTGTGCCACGGCTGGTGGATGGTCGAGCAAAGTTGCCTTCTTCGGAGCTGGCCTCCGAGTTCATGGGTGGAGCTGTGCAAGCAGGCGATGCCTTTCTCCATAGTTTGATGAACTTTGAGCCACGACCACATCTTGATAGTGGAGGTAGTGAGGGGACATAGCTTTGTTTCGAACCTGAATCACGCACGCATGGAAAAATACAAATCTATCATGTCATAATTGCTAATTACTTATCAAATAATAGCAAAAAAAAACCTCTTAGCCAAAAATAACCCACAAAAGAATAGTCAACAGCAGTTGACTACTGTCAACGGCCGTTCACTACTCTTTTGTGGTAATTCATTTACTGTTTCGCCAATTCGTTTACTGTTTCGTGTTCTGTATAAATTTTTTTTTTTCATTTCTAAGATACAAAACCGTAGGTTTTTTAAAACCTACGGTTTCCTCTCGTTTTAGCTACGGTTTCCCAAACTGTAGCCTACGGTTTTGGTTAAAAAAACGGTTTTTTTTAAGCCTACTGTTTTGAATTCTCAAAAAATTTTAATAAAATAATTGTTAAAACATTTCTACATCTTATAAACACTCTTTTTAATACTCTATATCACAAAAAAAAAAAAAAATTAAAACCGTAGCTTTTTTGACAAAACAGTAGATTAAACCCCAAAACAGTAGACTAAAAAAATAACCGAATTTTTTTACCCAAAACTGTAGGCTACGGTTTGGGAAACCATAGCTAAAACGAGAGGAAACCGTAGGTTTTAAAAAACCTACGATTTTGTATCTTAGAAATGAAAAAAAAAATTATACAAAACACAAAACAGTAGACGAATTGGTGAAACAGTAGACGAATATAGAAACCTACGGTTTCGTGGGCTATATTTGGGCATTTACTAATTTTTGGCTAAAAATTGCTAATCACTTCCTTAATTTGGCTAGATTAGTAATTGTCCCTATATAATATAATTTAATATAATTTGTTAATATAAACAAAATATATTCATTAATGAGTTAAAAGAATAAACATGATATATCAAAAAGTATGTTGTTATTTTAAGAAGTTAAAGATTTGTACCACATGATGCAACGAAAATAGTATAATCTTGTACGATTTGTTCGACTGCGTTAGCAAATTCGCGAACCAAATCTTCGGTGACTCCAATCGGGATGTCAAAGAAGGAATCGACTCCATCTTTGGTTTGTTTCATGAGCTCCATGGCGGATTGTGCATAGGGTTCACTCTTTGACTTTGGGTTCCATGTCTTTATAGATAAAAAAAGTCATCAATCATTCAATACAAAATACAAACATGATGGCAAATAAGGAATTTTTGTTTGTTTGTTTGATGACATGACATGAAAGAATACGTTTTATTCAAATGAGAGTATATGTTGCATCATTATGACCAAGATAAGCTTGGATCTCTAAGGAGAAAAATTGCAACTTCTTATTCCACCTAAAAATTGTTGAAACACGGTGGGAAAAAATTTCATTGCCTTTTGTCTGTTTAAAACACATGCTTTCGTTTTCATCATCATAAAAAATAAATCTAAATTTTTGACTACTCTATTCTAGTCCAATCATGTCTAATATAACAAATGTAACTTAATATACCTAGCTACGTACCTCAGATTCTTTCGCTTTTTGAACTACATCTTTGGCATTTTTCAAGCTATCTTGAATCCATTGTCTCAAAAACTTCAAAACAGTAGAATCAACCTCGTAGGTAACCATCTCCCGCACAACGGCCTTACCACCATCTTCACATTCAATAGAATCTTCAATAACTACATTAACCAACACCTTTTCAAGCTTATCGGCCCTTTGAAGAACTGCAACCGTTTCTTTTGAAATCACAGAGTGAGCAGTTAAGAATTGCCTCAACATGTTCCCGTAACACGCGTGTAATGTCACTGCCGCAACTCCGCCTGCAATTGGGTGCCATTTCTTCAACACTGGGCTAAACATTTCCATCTCACGAATCACCAATTCCTCCGTTTCATCTGCCAACTCAATCAGTTTTCCACTAACTTCTTGAACCATCATCGATCCGTTTATTGCATACCCATTTTCCACCATCTATTGCATATGTTATATGATATTAGTTACATTACCGGTTATAGCAAATTCAATCAAACTCTTAGGTCTTAGCATTATTATAAATATTATTGTATTTGGACATAGTCTAGGGATTGTTTTTACATATTTACATAGTCTAGGGACTATTATTGTGATGTTATCATATGTGAAGAGTTTGGATTACCTTTACGAAGGCATTTTTTAAAGAGGATCGGATATAACGATCAACCTTGTTCCCTTTAGAACCTGAAGCTTCTTCGTCGTCATCAATGGAGGTCAATCTGTAATAAGGTACGTCTTCTTCCAGGATCTTCGTCGCACAGAAAACCAGAGGAAGAATATTCTTCATTAAACCAAGTGATTTTCTTGTAAAGCTTCCATGGTAATCAAGCAATCGATTCTCCGACCATGTCTTGATGGAATTCAACGTCGCCGATAGCATCTGGACATAAACAGGATCCCGATTAACCTTCTTGGCATCATTAGCAACCTCCGTTAGCATGGTAAAGGAGGCGCTAAGCAGATCGTTCTCTGTTTGTCCTGTCAAAACGTATCGTTCGAATAGAACCCAAGTCAAACATAAATTGTGTATCGCTCTTGTGATCCCCAAAGTCGGCCATGTCTTCTTCATGAGCTCCAAAAGCTCATCGACCTCATCAAGAACACAAGTTTCGTCTTTTGAATCGAAAATGGAGCGAAGAAGAGGAACGTAGAGGTGAACGTTAAGTGGGTAGCCGTTTGCCCAGTGGCAAACGTTGGTCGGAGATGCGTTTGGGCTCCTCCATGATAGCGAAACCACACAGTTGCAGACGGTTTTCATCGTCTCCGAGCTTTTGTTCGTCTCAATAGGTTTGATGTCACTCCCACGAATGATTTCTCGTAGGCGCATTGCGAAAGCGTTGGATTTGTCTAAAGGGATCGAAGGGTGATCGAGGAGACCAGCTTCGAGGATTTTAAGTTGGCGTTTCTGCCATGTGTGGTACTCGTTTGCATCGTTGAATTCCGCCGGTTTTAGCTGCCGGAGGAGCTCTAATGGCAGAATTATGGTATCTGCACGTCGACCCGTCTGTTAAAAACATATATGTGATTAGAATTATCTGTAGAAATTGTTATGAAAATGAAAATGGAGGTTATGTAATTACTTGACCAACGAGGGTTCTCATGAGTGTTTTCCGGAGACGATTATCACTGCCCTCCGTCACCTTCATCTGCTGCCGCATGATCTCGGCGGACGTCATCGGCCGTTTAATCTTGCCATGGTGAGGTAAAGTCGAAAACGATGCTCTCGGACTAATACTGCTCTGATTATTATAATAACCATGGCCACTAGGAGACAAAGGATTCGACCCACAAGAGATGCTCCGCCGTGTCGACGGAGTTCGTTTCAGCATTTTCAATCCAAGCGCCTTCTTCGTTTTGCTCATCCCCGCCATCCCTACGCCGTAACGGGGAGACCGTGGCGACCCGGGGGACCCTGGAGAGGATGATCCAGGTGATAGAGGCGTATGTACTTCCCCACCATTAAGCGCATGAAATGAGGCGCCACCGGTACGACCGCCGAACCCCGGCGATGACCTGCAAGCGGTGAAGAAGATCTCATACGCGGTTGTGCGGAGGTCGTCGCGGTCAAGGCCATCGATCTTTCCGAATGGGAAGGAGAGATCAACTGCGGCGGCGTCAAGACAGACGGGTTGAGGTGCCGTAGGAGAGGGGACATCGATGTGGTTGGTGGGGTCTTTGAAGTCTTCATGGCTGGTTGTTAGCACCATGGTGGTGGTGCTAGAGTGGGACGACGGGCAGGGTGGTGTCCAATTCCGTCGAAGGCAGGGGCGAGTTTCGACGGAAGAGACAAAGGAGACCACCTGAAGATACCCTTCGCCATTTATAAAAGCTTGAATATGAAGATTGAGAGAAAGATGCGACAACGTCCACTGACAAGCGACAAATACGAGGATGCAAGGGTTGGTACTTGTTAGAAATAGAAAATCCCTGGACTTTACCTCATCTTGCAGTTTTAGTCCTTTGAGATATAATTTTACATTGTGTAGTTCATCCGAATCAATTTAGAGTAAATTACACGAATGGTCCCTATGGTTTGGAGTAATTTGCACGTTTGGTCCATAACTTACTTTTTTCACTTGGAAGGTCCCTACAATTTGTATTTGTTGCGCGCTTGGTCCTCGTCTTACCTAAAGAGACTATTTTGTCATTGATTTTTTAATTTATTTAAATAAGGTGAGATAGGTAAGGTAAGGTAATACGAGGTGAAAGTGGGGTTGTGGTGTGTTTATTTAAATAAATTAAAAAATCAATGGTAAAATAGTATTTTTATGTAAGACAGGGACCAAGCGCGCAACACAAACAAATAGTAGGGACCTTCCGAGTTAAAAAAATAAGTTAAAGACCAAACGTGCAAATTACCCCAAACCATAATGACCATTCGTGTAATTTACTCATCAATTTAATCTCATTTTAATATCTGAATTTGCATTGTGTGTTTTTAGGGACGATGGATGTGAGATGATGGACTACTAGCACCGGAGAGGATAATGAGGAAGGTAACGGTGGTAACCATCATTTCTTTCCAAGATCCATGGTGGTGGTGGCTAAGCTTTGTGAAAGACCCGAAAAACACGATAACAAGCAAAAAGGCTAGTGATGTTGCAAATTTATACATTTATTTAATTAAATGTTATGTCTGCTAGAAACCAACTAACCGCTTCGTTTGTTTCATAATGGTTTAATTGACAATGATTTTACAACTTTACTGACCTATTACTACAAAAACATCCAGAACTAATCATGGACAAAACAAAAACTAATAGAGTTATGAAATAAATCCCTTATTTGGAAAGTATCATAGGATGACAAACAACCTAACCTTCAGAAACATGCTACCCAAATCCAAGTTGATTGAGAAGACTTAATGTAATTATAAATATCTGAATAATTAAGCAATTAACCAGGGATGGGGAATACATAATTTCCAAACCCGAACTCGCTATAGATATTAATATATAAACTATTATAAAATATATATTTGGGTAAATTACACAAATGGTCCATGTGGTTTGGGATAATCTGCGTGTTTGATCCCAAACAACTTTTTTTTAACTCGAGTCGTCCCTAATATGGATTTTGTTGCTGCTTTGGTCCCTTGCCGACTTAAAATGACTAAATTACGCTTATTATTATTATTTTTAATTTTTTAGTATTTATATCTTTTATTAATATTAAATTAACAAGAAATAATGTACAAACCCTTAAAGCAACAAACCTTTATACAACCTTATACATAATATAACAAATTACACGAATGGTCCTTAAGGTTTTGTTTTTCTTCCCTAAAGTAGTCATTACGAAAGTTTTTTCCCTCATATGGTACCTACGGAGCAAACCTTGCACACAAATGATCCTTATGACTAACTTTGTTAACATACTCTGTTAAGTATGTGTGAAAAGACGAAAATGCCCTTTGCTTTTATTTATTTATTTATTTTTAATATTTTATTAATTTGAAATTAAAAAAAGTGAGGCCCCCTCTCTCTCTCATTAAAGCACCACCCAATTCATCTTCTCCGGCATGTCTCTCCCCCCCCCCCCCCCACCTTACACCGTCGCTCGCTGACATGCCACCTCCATCTTCTCCTCTCTCTTGAAATCTCATGAAGGGGAAGATCGTTAGATTCAGAAAGAAGTTTAGGGTTTTCGATTTGCAACAAAAAAAGCTTTAAATCTGGATCAGATGGATCCTTTTAAACCCTTTTAAACCCCAACCCTAACAAAATCGCCAATGGAGACACCGCCTTCCACAACCACCAATCCCTTCCCAGACGCTAGACCAAAACAAAGCAAGAAGTCGAAGTGCCACATCCTCTAATGGGTTCAGATATGATGAGATTGCATTTCTTGTTCTTTCCATCACTTAGCAGTCCTGTCGAGGGCTCCTTCTTCAAAGAAGTTGCTGGCGAACCAGGAGCTGCCACCGCCGCTTCTAATCTCTCATCCAATTGTTAAAGAAATCCACGAACCTCCCTTCCTTCGCTACTGTTACTTCTCGTTCCCTTCCATGTGGTTAAGCAGCATCGAACCTCCCCATTTCTATAATTTGCTCCCCGATCAGATGAAGACGGAGACTTGTTCCCTTGATTCTCAACCGACGATGTGCTTGTTGATCTAATTCGTATCTTGGCTGGGCAATCCAGAGGGCATGTGCGTGTTTCTTGAAATTTCTTTTCCAAACGTTACCTGCAACTGTGATTGCAGCCATGGCGGATTTTGACCATTAAATTCCTTAAATTACAGCAGATCTGAGCCTTCATTGGTTTGTTTAAAATAGAAAATTTGTGTTTCATTCTTCAAATCTAAAGAATTATATATTCAAATCTGAATCTCTTTCAAAACATCTTCGTAATTATGTCCTTGTCATAATTTGCTTTCGCTTGTGTTCACCTATTGAATGATGGAGGTTTTTTTGCTTCAGTACACAGTTGGGTTGTGGGTTTGATGATGGTAGTGGGATTGATTTCTTCACCAAAGCATGAACATAGCTAGAAAGAAGAGAGAGAGAGAGAGAGAAAGAGAGAGAGAGAGAGAGAGAGAGAGAGAGAGAGAGAGAAAGGGAGGGAGGAGAAGGGATCATTTGTGTGCACAAAACAAAGAGTATTTTTATCATTTAACAAAATTTAACAGAATCTGTTAACAAAGTTAGTCACATGGGCATTTTGTGTGCAATGTTTGCTCCGTAGGTACCATTTGAGGGAAAAAAGTTTCGTAAGGACTACTTTAGGGAAAAAAGCAAAACCTTAAGGACCATTCGTGTAATTTGTTCTACATAATAAATAGATGTTTATATCAACAGGAGTTGAGACCAACATACTGTTGGGTTTTGAGCATTCTAACACTCCTATGGTGTACATGCAACCCTATAAACCTTGGATCT